TCAGTTACCTACCTGTCCTGGTGACAAATAGCCTCTCTGATTAGAAAGACATCCTTTATTTCCACCGTGGCTCTTTTAGTTACAAAAAAAAAGGTTTATTTGGCAGAGAAAGTGTTTTTTACTACTTTCTTGGGAAAACACAATAAGGGCCTTAGAAAACAAAAGACTAGCCCGTGATTACTGGGTCAGTTCACAATAGTCCACAGCACAATTGAAATAATAACTAATTCAAGAATAGGATTACATACATTTTCCATATTCCTTCTTAATCTGCCATGACAGCCAAGCCTTATAAAACCCCTGAGAGGTGGGCAGAGCTGGCACCAGTGCCAGGTGCTGATAAGCAAACCAAAGCTTGGAAGCCTCGTGTTTCATCCAAGGCCCTTGCTCAAATCAACAACAGAGCTGGACTAGAATTCTGGTCTCGGCCCCCGGGAATTAAGAAGCCATGTCTCCATGCCCACCAAGGAGTCATGCTGAGTTGTTAGCTCTGATCCCTGAATTCAGGACTGCTGAAGGCAGAAACAGAGATGCTCCCCAGGGACTTTGCTCAGCGAGAAAACAAAGCCCAGGTGGCCTCTGCCAGCTGGTCCTGGGCAAAGCCAGCAGGATGTGTGTGAGTGTGCAGCTGCTGGTTTCGCCCGGCTCAGGACTGTGGGAAGCAGCCTCGTTCAGAGGCTTTTCCTTCAGGTCTGCACGCAATCCATGTGGCTTTGTACATCTGAGTGCAGTGTCACTTTTGAAGCACACTGTGTGTTGTGCATCTCTCCAAAGCTAGAGAAGACAAACAAAGATGCAGGCCAAACTTAGGGCTCAGGTTTGCCTCAAAAAACAAAATCCCCTCCTCATCTGATAGTACAATGTGGACCACAGTGGAGATTAGAAACAGGTCCACGAAGTTACTTTTGCACATCTTATGCAGGAGTATTGGGGGACAGACTACTGATTTTAGTCTCTTAGGAGACTCTGATTCAGGACAGTTTACCACTCCCTCCTCCAGGTTCAATCTTAAGTGTAGACATTGATAATTTATTCCATATTCCACCCCCCCCCCAGACCTCCAACAGTCTGAGGTCCTGGTCACACTTCCTCCGAGCCTAACTCTTCCTGCAAAAGGCCATCCCACTGCATGGAAGGCTTGGTGTAGTCAGACATAGTAAGTTATTGGTAATTCCCAAACCTATCTACACTGCAGAATCGCTCAAGGCATCTTTTATTTTATTTTATTTTTAAAGATTTTTTTGTTGGGGAATTGGGGGCAGGGGAAGCGTTGGGGAATCAGGGAAGGGGAACAGACAAGTTGCAGTCCTTTTGTTCTTCAAAAAGTCTAGTTGTGGAGAACTTCACTTCACTGACCCATGTTGGTATTATCATTGCACTCTTCCCAGGTGAGGCAGATCGGTCGCAGGCCTCTGGACGGCCGCTCACAGCGGCTCTTGGCAGCTCACACCAGCTGCCGGCTGCTCACGCTGGCTGCCAGCCACTCATGGTAGCTTACTGCAGCCCACTGTAGCGTCACTGCAGCCTATGCCAACGCCGGCGACTCACGGCAGCCAAGCTCCAGATCGAGCTGTTGTTCACCATCTTAGCTGTAGAGGGCAGTGTCACTGGCCCTAATGTGAGATCCGAACCACAGTCCTGCTGCTCAGAGCTGGCGCTGGCATCCCAAGCCAGCTCTTAAACAATGCGCCACTCGGCCAGCCCTCAAGGCATCTTTTAAAACAGATTCACAGGCCCCACCTAGATTCACTCAATCAGCATCTCTAGCTCTGGGTCCTGGGAGTTTGAATTTTAAAATCTCTCCATGTGATTTTAATTCAGCCAGATCAAGAGCAAGCAATTAAAAATGCAATGAACTCCCTCCTTGCACCACGAAAAAGGGGAAAATCACTCCTCTCACCATTTCCACACATTAGAGCACCGCTTCAGACTCAGACTCAGCTGTAATCCAAGCCCTGCTCCATGTCCACTTCAAGCTTCCTCTCCCACATGCTTCAACACCATCTTGCTTTGACTTGGGCTTCTTTCTTTCTGAGCAGATAGAGGATCGGAGCCCCAAGAGCTGCGCATTGCACAGCTTTCTTCTAAGACCTACACCCTGCCTCACTCCTGCTCTGAACCAAGGAGCCCCGGTGAGAGCTCTGAGTTAGGCAGTACCCTCAGCGGGCGCATGCTGGGCAGTGGGGGCCAGAAGAGCTCCACATTCTCACCTGGAGTCATCATACCTGCTTCCAGTCCTACCTTCCTGTCCTCAGGGGGCCTCAGTCCCTCATTCCAGTGCAACATGCAGTTTCCACGCCCGACTGATCTGACTGTCCTGCAGCACATCGGAGTGCCAAGGCTGTGCTGAGTTGAGGAAGGAGGCCTTTCTGTGACTGAAAATGTGACATGTAGTTTGATAATAATTTAGTTTGTCTCCTTTTCTTGTAATAGAAATTACTTATTTGTGATGACTAAGAGGCTGTAAGAGCAAATTAGAAAAAGGGGTTCAGAAGCTCAGTTCATGGCCTTGTCTGTAAGATATCAGACATTTTCAGAGCACTTCTGAATTTTAAAGACCGCCATTATTCAAAACTTCAGACTCATAATACCTGGGAAAGGAAATGGAAAGAGTTTCCCTTTGTGTAAGTTTGGGGCAAGTAGCATAATAGAGAAAACCCGTTCTCTCCTATGGGCCTCTGGGGCCCCTCCCAAAGGGCTGGCCACAGTTTTACCCCCCTGGGTGCAGACTGGGTAGAAAGGACATTTGCACCAGGAGAGTTGGCTGCTTACTAACTAGGAAAAAAATTCCTAGAGAGAGACTTAACTGCTCCAAGCCTTTTGTGATACAAGGGAATTCTAAGAACCAGGGATCAGGAGGGCTGGAAAGCTGACATTCCCAGTCCTGAGTTTGAGTGACCGCCTCAGAGGAGGAGATGCTGCTCTGACCCTGGGGGCTGAAGTCAAAGACCCAGGGCACTGTGTGACCTCCTGTTCCCACTGTTGCTCTCCCACCAGCCTAATTCCATTGTTCCCAGTTTCTACAGGTCCATGGAGGGGCAAGCAATTAGCATCCTGCCCCTCCCCCACCCCCACCTCTTCCTAATCATTGAAGAGAGAGTATTTTTTTCTTTTTAAGCACCAGGTTAAGCTGGAGCAGTACATCCTTATTCCTCTCATCTCTTGGGCCCTGACATCTAAAACCTTCCCATAGTTCTTCTTTGTAACTCATTCCTTTCTGGCCAAGAGTCCATCTTACCGTCTCCTGCCAGTTGCCTTGCTATTTTCTGCGAGAGCCATCATGTCATGCCTAGCCTGAGGACTTAAGTTCTTGTGCTGTGTTAGTTACATTGCCAAGAACAAATTAAAATTCTCAGAGAATTAAAAAAAAAGGGACAACTCTCTTGTGTCAAATGAACGCACCGTGAGGCAGCTCTCCAATTCATACTGAATGTGAGCGTGAGTTACCCAGTGAGTTCCTCGGCCCTAGGCATGTAACTCCCCAGGCTCAGCACTCCCCCAGCTCTCTGCTTCAATATGTATGTCAATATACTGTCTTCACTTTGGCATAATTTTCTGTCATTAGCCCCGTAAACTTTGTCCTTTTACTTTAGATTGGGGATTGCCAAGTTCCCTCTCATTCAAAATTCATGGTGGCAAGATGGGGAAGATCATTGCACACACCTTGAGACTTAGAAGGAAACAGGAACCTCTTATTTCAGGTGACTAGATCCTGTAATTACCCAGAAATCCACTGAGAAAGAGCTCTGGAGTCAGCATCAATTATCAACTGTGTGAGTCAAACATTACTTAACCTCTCTGAGTCTTAGTTTTCCTATCGGTAACACATGGAGAATAATGCCTACCTTTCAGAGGTACTGAGAGGATTACATAGTAAAATATATGCAAAGCAGTTGGTATACAGTAAGCAGATGACAAATGGTAACTGTAATTATCCCCACCTCCATAATGATAGTTTCAGCTGCCTGGAAACTACGTAGGAGCAGGGCATAAGCCCTGGTTAAACACATACCTAGTATGCAGCCATTTCCCCAGGCCACGCTCCATTGTCATCACTGAGTTCTCAGTGGCCCTGCTGAGCGGGACTAGGCATTCCCCTCATGGTTTCCTTGCCTGCACTACCTTCCACACTCAATCTTTAAGTAAAAGACACTGACCTAACTCTTCCCAAATGTATTCAAACAAAAAATCTAAAACTGCTGCTGTCCAGATTCTGTTTCTGCCATCAATCCACAAGGACCCCATTGCCCAAATTTTGAACTACGGTGGGAGCCACAGCATTAAGCTAAAATTGATAAAACAGCGACACCGTGTGGCCAGACAGGACTGCAGCTCAGCCCAGAGAGGGTGCTGCGTGAGCCCACAGTCTTGGCGCCGTCAGGTCCAGTTATAAAATAAAATGAGGAAGGAAACATAGCACCTCTTAAGTGTGAGTGGAATTACTTCCTACTTTACAAATGTGTCTTCCCTGTGCAGAGCCTAAGGTTTGAAGGCTGCATGGCTTGTGCTCTCAAATCAAAAAGGGCAGAAGGCGATTAGCTATAGGGCACATGTAAAGTTTCAAACGTTTGTGGCACTGCTCCCCAGGAGCTGTAGATTTACAGAAAAATCTTAGCAATCCTTATCCCAGATATTTCTTGGCATGTACTTCAGAAAATAGCTCAGATATTTCTTGGCATGTACTTCAGAAAGTTCTCAGACCTTGAAGAACTAGGATAACCATGAAGTAATTAATACTGTAGAGTTACACTCTCGAAGGGAAGATCGCTTTCAATCACTAACAGGAAACATTGGCCCTTCAAATAGAGCTTAATATAAAAGAATTACTAAATCTGTAGGATGGCATGTCAGCCAGGGGTGGTCTCTGAGTCGTCTAGTCATCTGCTTAGTAATTTTACTCCCTTAATGCTATCAGATGGACAAATGGGTATTTCTCACATCCCTGAAGCTACTTGGGGAACAGGAACCTTCCTCTTTACCTGGTGGGCTCAGGTTTTTACCTCTTGAAGAAAAGTCTCAGGACTTGTCCCGTAAGTATGCGTTGTCACCGGTGAAGGACTCCTCAGCAGCATTTCCAGGGTAAATACTCAGGGCATCTCCATGTATAAGATGGATGATGAGTTCTCTGATCTAACCCATTAGCACAGAAGCAGATGAGGACCGAGCAGCTCCTCCCGCCTTGATGAATCCTTAAACCCTCCACTTCATTGACTTGAAACATAAGGTGATGGGATGGTGGAGGGAGCCCAGACCCAGGAGCTCCTCCCCGGGAATTGGAACAAGGATCAAGAGGAATTCTGAGTCACTTCCTATTTCTGGAACTGCAGCCTGTTAACTCAGAAGCTATCGGCCCCCATGTTTCCACCACCGGGGCAGAGGAAGCTGGTCTGCAGAAACACTCAGGGAGGGAAGCTGACCACAGGGGAGTGAGAGGCGGGAGGGAGAGTGAGCCAGAGGCGTCTGGGGCAGCTCCTGAAGACTCTCCTGAACCCTTATAATACTGCCCTCTTTTGAAGCTGTCTCAAACCGATTCTGTTACTTGCAACTTAGAACAGAATACACAGTGGCCTGGGCAGTTAATCTCCTTATACTTCAGTTTCATCACCTGTTCAGTGAGAATCATCATTCATTCATTCATTCAGCAAATATTTACTGAATGCTTCTTTTGTGCTAGGCATTGTTTTAGGTTCTGGGAGACATGGCTGGGAACAAAAGAGATTTATAAAAAAATTCCTTCCTTTATGAAACTTCCCTTCCAGTAAAAGGTCTCCAGAAATAAATATATGAGATAAGATAGAAACTTCAAATAGGGTACCAGTCAAAGGGCTGGTTGACCCAATAGACAGAGCACAAGCCCCAAGTCTTAGAAAATGTGCAAGAGGACCAGGGCCACTTTGAACAATACAGTCCTTTGGGCTTTAAAATAAAATTGGATTAAATGGGTTCAGTCTTTCTACAGTGTGTTTTTACATCTTGGTGCAACTGCCAAAGGCCCCTTCTGACATCTCGGTAGGCCCCACACCTGGACAAACTCTCCTGACACTGCAGTTTCCTACCTGCTTGGGCTGTGGGCAGCTTTCAGTTATTATGGGAGCAGCAGATAATACACATAAGTGAAAAATTGAATTCACAGGTAATTTTAAAATCTAAGTTTAGCCACTTCTCTCCCACTCGGTTATCTATCAAAACTACCTAGGAAGCCTGAATTTACCGATTTGGTCCTATCTTCTGTCGCTGCCTCTGGTAGAGCGGCAAATGATCAGCGTGAAGACCAAAAGGCAGGCAAGCAGGAGGGAGAAAGCCAAGAACGTGGACAGTCAGCATGATGAATGCCCAAACTCTCACACAATCTAGATTAACTGTGGGGGCTCAGCCTGCCATACTGTCTGATCCTCAAATGTGGGCTAAAACATTCTTACTTTGGGCCAATTATCCATAGTTCTTACGTAAAATCAGGAACGAAAGCACCCCTTACTTCCTTTACTTATTGTCTTAGTATAAATACAATGCAGAGTTTTTCATATAATAAAGGACTAACAATAATACTTAGCATTCACAGCTCAGATGCCCTTCTCAGTTCCCCGTATTCCTTCAAGGGAGATGAAGCTTGTCATCACTAGGCAACCAGACAGTAGGGATTTCCAATACAGATAGACAATCCATGTTTTGCCATGTCTCAGCCAGAAGTGGTAAGTTATTTAAAATTTTTTACATATTCCATGCCCCAAGTGCCTCTCCATCTCCCTCCAAAGTTAATGAAAAACATTTATCCCTGTGTTCATGGGTATGCATAAGTGTGTGCACACACTCACCCCCATGCACACACACACACACACACACACACACACACACACACACACACACACCAAAATACAGGTATCCAGTGTCAGTGGAGGCTGGCAATGCATCAGAACCTGTTTTAAGATAGAAATGCCCATTTTTTCCCACCTTTTCAGGATGGTACATACCTCTCTGAACAAGAAACAGGCTTCTTTCTTGACAAACCTCTGCAGCCGTAAGATCTGTCTCGTGGAGCAATGTCAACCACAGATGCCTTGCTAGTTCTTAGAACTCCAGGGGATGACAAAGCTTAAATAAGATAATAATGATTTAAGAGAGGAAGCAGGGCAGAACTTCAGAAGCAATAGCCAATGTGGGGTTTTAAATACAAGTAGCAAATTTTGTTTTTCACCTCAAAAAATGGAGAGTGGATGACCACTAAATGAGCTCCCCACGTTAGGCTTTGGAATCCACATCCTTGACTTTCATCAGAGTGCCTTCACAAATGGAGGCCTGCCCTGATCCTTACTCTAGTTGTGACTGCCTTCCTACCCTCCCATCTATTTTTTTTTAAAGATCTTTTTTAAAAACTTTATTGGGGAACAATGTGTTTTTTCAGGGAACAATGTGTTTTTTCCAGGACCTATCAGCTCCAAGTCAAGTTGTTGTCCTTCAATCTTAGTCGTGGTGGGCGCAGCTCAGCTCCAAGTCCAGTCGCTGTTTTCAATCAAGTTGTTGGGGGCACGGCCCACCATCCCAGTGGAAGTTGAACTGGCAACCTTGTTAAGAGCACGGACTCTAACGAACTGAGCCATCCAGCCACCCTCCTCCCACCCATTTTTAAATGGCGACAGTCAAGCATCCCTTTCTCCAATATTGCCTTATTATGTTCGTAATGGATCTGTAGGCTCCCCTACCAGTCCCAGGCAGAGGATGGAGTGGAGCATCCCAGGGCAAGTCAGTTCTGCTCTGTGCCATATGCTCTTCCCCTCTCATCAGAAAGGCTCCCTGAGACGGCTAGGGCTTTTTGGTCCAGGCATTACATCCAATGCAATGACCTTTCAACTAGACAGCATGTTAGTAATAATTCATTTCAGGTACTAGGGAATCCTGCACAGGGTGGGAATCAGGACCTGGCTGCCGTCTCCTTGTGGATCTTGGGCTAACACTAATGACAATAGGTCCAGTGTAGTCTCTGGACCACCAGCATGTAGTCTCAGGTCCTTCCTAAATAAAGGTGCACACAGTAGTCCCAGCTCCATCCCATCCCAACTGAATAAAAATTTCTGGTGCTGGAGGTCTAGGACTCTGCATTTTTACACCGCACTCAGGTTTGGGACCTGCTCAAGATTTGGAGATCCTTATCTGAAATCCCAGGGTTGGAGATCTGTCATGTTCTCTTCCTACTCTAACATTCAATGGTTTGGGGCAGAAGCTTGTTTTTTTTAGGTTGGTCTCCATATTCTCCAGCCACATTCCTACATGCATCACTGGTCACTTCACAGACAGCTGCCAATTCACCAGATTTAACAAGCATGTGATAATAACTGTAACTTTATCCAAACCTATTTCTAAAATTAAATATTTCCTAACCCTGTGGATCAGTGGATGCAACAATTACATTGGTATTTGAACACAGGACTAGTGCTCCCCACGTCAGAAATAAAACATTCAATATTTACTCTCTCTCTTGCCATGACACTGCAGGAAGACCTCGACATAACAGGGATGGTCCCTCCCCCTTCATGAACATATGTCACTTTCTAGGTTTGTGGACCAGTCACTCTCAACTAATTTCTTATAGTTTCTAATGATGAATTGGATTTCAGTCCTTATGGTCTGAGAACCTGATTTAAGGAAACTTTCCACGCTCTTCACAGTGATGTGGTCAACAGCAATAATGCCACCAGCGTTTCAAAACCCTTATCATCACTGTCAATCTGTGTGAGTTTGTTTATTTGGTTAAATACCAACTAATGAAGCATGGACATGGTTTTGATCTTTAGTAGGCCAGCTGGCTTCAATCACTTTCTTTCATGGACTACTCATCTTGAAAATGTCGACCAAAGGAGTCAGAGTAACAGTTTGAAGAACAGTGATTGGTGAAATAACCCTATGGCTGATGTTCTTTGATGTTGAGGCAGAAGGTTCCTCTTTGGATACTAAAGATACGAGTAGCATACATGGTCATGGATACCCTCAGGAATGTTCTCTTTCAGGTTGCTTTGTAGTGTCATTTGCTCATTACAACCCAAAGTTAATTCCATAACTCTGTTATTTCCCCAGAAATAACCTTTTCTAGAATAAAACTGGGGTCTTTGTGGGTTACTAGCTCATCTGCAAGCTGGTCGCTCCAGTGCTCTCTGAATCAGTGTCTCTTCTAGTAACTCCTTCTTCCTTTTCCAGGCTATTGCACCTCCCTTCTCGGATCCCTGATCCCTGCCCTCCTCTCTCTCCTGCCCCCAGCTACTGGAGCCAAAGCTGGAGTTGGCAATATAGAGAAGCTGCAGAGCGCATCCCACTGCCTGTGCTTTACCAAGGACCCAGTGAACAAACCAGCGGGAACTTGGCAGGCTGTAAATGGAGGAATGAAAAGGGGAAGGTAAATGTGAGGTTTAAACTTAAATCTCTGATTGCTTTTGTTCATAATGGTAATATTAATAGCTACCATTTACTGAGTACTTGTGTGAGCCCTTGGGGACAGCACTTCAATGCATTACCTGTTTCATTCTCATGACATTCTCCTGTTCCCGTCTCTAATCACCAAACTGGAACTCTGAAAAGTCTGTTTCCCTACCTGCCCTCTTCCACATATACACCATATAGCAGGGTTCTAAGAACTGGGGTAAAAATAAAAGGAGACTCATGAAAGATAATCGTGTATCCAAATAAGGAAAGGGAGAGAAACTTCAGTGAAGGGTATTTAATGTCAGAGAAACTGTACATCTGGGGTAGAGATGAAGAGACCATGCCAGGCCAGCCGAGCCTGACCTAGCTACGCTTCCTGTCGTTCGTGAGGCCTTCCTTGATGGAGGACGTGACAGCAGCAGCATCACAAGTTTCCTCTCCCTGGTGGGAGCACAGTGCAACGTTCACTCAGTCCGGATACGCACCCAGCTTTCTGCAGCTGAGGCACAAGTACTCAGTCCATGTCTTTCCTGACATGGCAGGCCAAATGACCCCCTCTCCTCCTGGTGCAGGGAACTTGTGGCAGGAGCTAATGAACTGTAGAGGAAGAGTAATTCTCACTGGAAAGACAGGCCTGTGAGTCTGGGGTGGTGCGGGTCCCGCTGTAGTCACCTGTCAGAGATGACATCGGACCTCTCCTCATTTCTGTAACGTAGATTCTCCAAGTACGCATACCAATGAAAAGGTAGGAAAGCACTGGGCCTGTCACAGAACCGATCCATATTCTGGGCGACACCCTAAAGACGTCAAGGTTTAAGCTGAGTTCCTGCCACCTTCCACAGGGTCCTCTGGCCCAAAGGCTGGGGTCACAAAGCAGTCATCTACCCAGCAAAGACTCCAGACTTCCAGACAAAGTCATCTTCTCCATCTAACCACCACCTCTCTCAAGGGTCATGGTGGATAGACAGCGAATATTCCCAAGTCCCTACATCCTGAGAGTCCCCGCCAGATGGAGGGAAAAAAAGACCTTTGTCCCCCTCACTGTGAGTTGCCAACCAGCAAAGTCCATCCTCAAAGATCTCCAGCATCTCTTAAATAAGCTTTTCCTTTCCATTTTCTTCTCTTAATTATTTATCATCGATCCATTCATTTATACAAATATAAAATATATTTATATAGATTTATAAAATATAAATTTCTGTGAGGCGGAGTGGAGGAGAGGACCGGAGGGTGGGGCACCCTGGCTATTTGCAGACATACTGGTCGATGACCTCCGTGCACTTCTTGCACTTGACGAAGCAGCACCAGTGGAACTTGCAGTGGCAGCGCTCCACCTGGACGCTCTTGAACTGGTCATAGCCGCGGCCACAGCACATGAGCTCGCAGCCGTCCATGCCCTCCGAGGTCTTGTTGCAGAGGCGGCCCTGGGTGCCCAGGGAGCCCGTGGTCTCGTTGCGCAGGCAGTAGTCGGGACTGGGGTCCACGTACACCAGGTCCTCGGGGGTGGGCGGGTTGAAGCGGCTGTTGACCAGCTCCAGCTTGCCTCTGCGGCTGATGCGCACGGCAGCTGCGCTGTCATACTTCTCCTTCAACTGGTCCCCCACCTTGCGGAACTCAGCCAGCTGGAGCCAGCACGTCTTGAGGCTGCAGGACCCAGAGACACCGTGGCATTTGCAGGCTACATCTGCCATCTTATACACAGCCTGGGAAGGTGGGAAAAAAGCAGGGAATGAGAAGGAGCATCCCGGATGGAAGGTGTCCCGAGGGTGGCCATAGCAGCCAGAGGCCAAGTACAGAGAAGCGCTCATGGGAGGAGGGGCGGGCCGTTTTTCAAATGTAGACAAAGATCTTTCCAGGGTCCGCAGTTGCTCAGACTGAAAACAGACAAAAGGAGCACTACCAAGGAAAATATTGGGGAGGCTAGCACACCATATCTGGTCAGCTACAGGACGGCACACGTGTGGGCATGCACTTTCTACTGCGTCCACTTCTTATCACTCGAAATTTGTTACAATAAATGTGTCATCTTTACCATCAGGAGAAAAGGATATTTCTATCTTGATCAAAGTCTCAAACAAACAAATAAAAAACCAACACAACGTGTCCAGCTTTTACATGATGTGGAGCACAAGTCAGAAAAAAGAACCCAGTCAAATGACAAGCTTGTAACAGAAACGGTGGGCATGGCCCTGCTAGCCCAAGCTATCTGACCCTGCCAGATCCCCTGAGAATTAGATGGTCCCCTTCTCTGTGTTAATATTTGGTCATTAACTCCATAGAGTCACCAGGAGTTTCACCATAAACGACATCATATCTGTGAACAAGACCACTTTCTTCCACCCTGCATGCCTGACACCCATGGGCGAGGCTGTGAGTGTGGACGGAGGGGGGCGGGGGGGGGCTATAGGGGTGATTCATTTGAAAACAAATCCTCCCCAGAAGTCACTGAACCACAACGATGTGGAGTGGATTTGAACCTGGGTTATCCCAAATCAAAATGTAAATGCAAGAGTAGACCAGAAAGCTGCTTACAAAGTGCTTTTCAATGAAAGCATATTGATGCATTGTGTCAAATAACCCTGGCAGCAGGCCCAGAAGTGCAGATGGCAGGATAAAAATGCAAGCCCGCTGCAGAACATTTTCTTTTGCCACAGCTATTGTCACCAAGTGAGTACGGACTCATTTTTCAAGGGTTTTTCTCAGATTCTTTTCAAGAGTCCCCAGATTGTGTCTTTATTCAGCACTGTGCAGAGACCACTGCAGGTGCAAGAAACAGCTTCACCATCATCAGCTCACATTACTATTATCAAAACACTTCCTGATTTTTTTTTCTGGTATGGAATTATTCCCGTTATTTTATGGTGGAAAAATCGAGGCTCTAGAGAGCCTCAATAACCTGCTCAGGGCCACCCAGGAGGGACTTGGAAGGTCTAGCACTTCTGCACTCCAGTCTCCAGGCTTAAAAACAGCTTAGGCTGGAGAAGGAAGTGAGGCTCCTCCCCCAGGTGAGAGGCACCAGCACTTAGCTGGCAGCTCCAGGCCCAGGGCGGAAAGGCACTGACACCCCATTCCAACAGGCACTTCAAAGACAGAGCCTGCAATTATCCTTCTGGCACAAATCCCCATTCTGACATTTCTCTGGAAAAGGTCCTCAGTGTAGACAGGATGGTGGTCGTCTGGCACTGCTGGAGAGAGGAAGCATTAGGGCCTAAAACTGTGTACCTGCCCCTAAGTGACTAAGGGAACAGGATAAGCATCTCTACTGGGAGCAAACACTTAGGGAGATTTGGGGGGGAAAGAGTCAGAGCAAGACCTCACAGAGTAAGGAGGGGAATTCTAGTAAAACAAATCCAAGAGGAAGAGTGTCACCGACCCTCACTATTTAGACATTCATTCCTTCCTTCCTCAAGGGAGAAACACTGTAGATGTAGAGACATACTATTTTAAATTATTTTACTATTGATAATATATGTATGTTCCTTTTATAGGAGAAAGGGGGAATCCCAATTTTTGGCCCTTTCTGCTAACTGAAAAAGCAATAAAATGTTAAAATTTTTTTTTTTTTTTTTTTTTTTAGTTTTACCTCTTGCCCCTGAAAAGCTCTCTCTAAGTCCTTCTTTCACTTCTGCCTAATGGTGTTACTGAGCTTGGTAACTGACAGGAATGTCACAAGGATTAGGCAGTTTTTATCTGAAAAATGCTTAGGAGCCCTTGAGTGACAAGGCTGTATCAACCCACTGTTCTGGCCATCGATATCTAAAATGGAGCTCTTAGAGACTCTGAAAGGCCAAGAGAAATTCCTAGCAAAGTATGCCCAAGATTTACTCTATGGTCAAGATGTCAAATCCCAGTTATTCTGTTAAAAAAAAAAAATCTGATAGTAAAATCCTAGTCCAAGGACTTTTCAATCCCTGCCACCACTTCGTCCTGAGAAACTTTTTATGTAGGTGTGAGGAGGTGAGAGGTGAATACCTCTGGCCTCAGATGGTGATTGATGGCCAAGGCCTGTTCCTTGGAGAGGGAATAAAAAATAGAGGGACAAGAATTCCCCATGTGGAGCAGACAGGCAAAGGGAGATAAAGGGATGTGGAAGCGGTGTGGGCCTGGAGGAAGGGGCCGAAGACAGGGAGACAGACAGGAGACAGAGAAACAGGGCAGATGGAAGGGAAGGGCCTGCCAAGATAAGGGCCCAGGACAAACAAACAAACAATTAAGGGCAATAAAATGAGGAGCCAGCAGAAGTGGGGTCAAGACTGAGGCTGAAAGGGGGCCCAGATTAGGATGAACGCCTAGTCACCTCCGCATATGTCCCTACGCTTCAAGGACCGCTCAGAGCACAGACAGGAAACAGCCTTCCATGAATTTGACCTCTCACTAGGGAAGCAATATGGGAACTTTGGTCTGCATAGTCACATGCGCCCAGCCATGGAAAGATAGCCAGAGAGTGGCTGCAAAGCCTATGCTGTGATCCCTGTGACTCTGTCCCTGTCCCTGCTGTGATCCCTGTGATGTTGCCCTGGGGAACCTGTAGCCCATGAGATGAGGCAGAGTGAGCCACACCTCAGGAAAAGCACAAATACTCCACTGCAGAGCGATGCAGATGCAGAGACTACAACCTATGGGGGATGGGAAAGATTCGAAGCAGTAGGTGGTATGTGAACCGGGACCTTAAAAACTGGATAAAGTTTGGGCATTCGGGAGACAAAGTGAAGACCTTAACCTTTTTCACCAATTACTCTCCCTTTCTCATAGTTAAACACCAGGAAACTGGCTAGTGGACTGCTGAAGAGAGGGGGTCCTGGAGACTAGAGCAGCCCCACAGACGCCCTTGATGTGGACAGTCCCCTAAGACCGTTCTGCTCTGTCTGCCCCGGTTCATAACCGTAACAACCACAGTTCACAGCACCAACCAAAACCCCTCACACCACCACAAACTAATACCACCTAAACACACCCGTATGTGGCTAAAAAAAACTGGCCTCAGGTTATGTGATATGTAAGGCAGACACATGTAAAACACATTTTCAATCCTATTTATTTGCTATGTACTCCTATAAAACATGACTTAATTTTTAAAAATTGATATATAAACACATTTTTAGAAATATATCCATATCCTGTTACCGAATCACCAATGAACCAACATTAAATTTCTGGATTTATTTCCTTTCAAGAAACCGCTGTTCTCATTTTTTAATTAGTTCATCTTTGCTCTCACTGAAGTATCCTGCCTGGGCCCCAGAGCCAGCTGACCTAATAGACCTGAGTGTGGACAACATGCCCAGAAAGAGGCTGTGAGGGGTCTGTGGTCCGTTGGCCCTTTATCAGGACAGCATCCTCCCACCAGGCACTCAGACCTCAGATGTGTCTACAGGGAGACCGGGATGCATGTCCACACTGCCCTCCACACTGGATATGCTGAGCGAGCCTCCCGTTTCCTGGGGCAGAGGCCTCACAGGGCAGCAAAGGAAAGAGGTGTCCGGAACATGTGCTCAGCGGAGGGTCTTCGTGAGAAGGCGCAGGCAGAGTCATAGATGCTTCCCAGCACACCACAAAAAACGCTGTTGCCCAAGAACGCTCTGCATGGACAATAAAGCAAGCTCACCTCAAAACCTCCATGTTAGTTTCTACTGAAATCGAGGCTCAGAGAGTGTCCTATCTTACATGAGACCAGTGAGACTGTCTACGTGAGCCTTCAATGGCTGTCCTTTACACTCCACATATGTTTAAAACTCCTAGTACACATGTGTGTTTGCCATTAGACCTAAACGAGCTTCTGGACTGGGTTTCCGCATATGATGGTAGAGTATGATAGTAGCTCTGAAGTCAGCTGTGCTTTTCCCTAAGCTTTTAAGAAATCATAAACCCTAGACTAAGCCTAACAGCCTCAACTTCCAATCTCCCTATCCGTACAAATTACAAAGAAGGGGCAGTCAAAACAAGAACTCCACTGGAATTCTGATCCTAAGACTGTATCCAAACTCCACAGGGACAGGTGTCCTGTGGAGAAATGAATAGGGTTAAAGAAATGACAAGTGCACGTGTCCCTTGGGAAATGGAACTTTTTGAAAGGGCTAAGTCCAATCACATGGGCATCTCGGTCACCAGTCATAGGTGAGAGTCTCCCAAATCAGGCCAGCCCCTTCCTTGATGGCCAGGCCACAGCTCAGAGTTCAGCCCAGGGCAGCCCAAGTGGTCTGTGGTGTGTGTGGAGGGTTGGGGGCCAGGCGGGTGTGGGGGAGGTCCAGCTTACCCTTCGACCTGCCTCGTTGTTCTGCAGGTTCATGAGCACCCGGCCCTGCTCCTCCGACCCCTTGGCAAAGTTCTTCTCCCGCTCCCGGGCGTCCACAAACTCTTTAGCAAAACGGTAGCCATACTCCACGTTGTCCCCACAGCCACCCCACAGCCAGTCCCGGGGAAGGTCCTTGGGCCGTGCTGTCCGGCTGCAGCCACATGTGGAGAGCTCACCCTCCCGGCAAGCCCGGCTGATGGCGTTCACCACCCCCGCTGCGCTGACTGCGTAGGTGAAGGCGGTCTCGCGGCTCCCTGCAAGAGAAGGAAGAGGGGTGGTGAGGGAGGTGAGCTCTCCAGTGGAAGCTTTCCTTCCCCTCTGCCTCCTGCAGACCCAACCAGTGCCTTGGTGGTAACACTCCCAGGAGGGGAAACTGTCAGCACAGAGCACCTCACTTCCCATGGCTCTAGTGGTTTCAGACTTCTCTTCATCAGGAGCTGAAGGTGTCTCCTCTGTCCTATGAACGTACCAACTGAATGACTCCCTTCAGCCCTGGCCTACACTCACATCCACTCCAGAGAGGTTTACATGCCAGTAGATTCCTCAGAGGCAGCCCTAAATGAAGGGAAGAGTGAGCATTAAGGAATTAAGGAACACACGTGACGGATAGAACGGGACTGAGCAGAAACCATGGGACCTCGCAAAAACCTCTCCCTCAGATGCCAATTTTTCACCACTCTATGAGCCACACATCTGACTTTTGATTGCTGCCATTATCTAGCTAGACAGTGTCAGACACCAGGAGTGGAGAGTTACTAGAATGACTACGCCCATGATCACCTGAGCTGTCTCCATCTCCAACAGCATCCACACCACCTCCTGACACCAGGGCACCGAGAACCGCCTCTGGGCCATTCAGCATGGTCTCTCCAAATGTCTACATCATTTCTAGTAGAAAATCCTCTTTATTGCTATAGTGAACCACTTAAAACTCACATGATGTATGCTCTACTTCCATAAAAATGTTTATAAAAGGTAATACTCAGCCATCAGGGCAACACAAATCAAAATCACAATGAGACACCACTTCACACCCACGAAGATGACTATAATCGAAAAGACCACTAACAACAAGTTGGTGAGGATATAGAAAAACTGGAACCCTCACGTACTGCTGGTGGGAACGCTAAATCGTACAGCTGCTTTGGAAGACAGTCTGGCAGCTCTTCAAAAGGTTAAACACCGAGTTACCATATAACCCAGCAAGTCCACTCCTAAGAATATATCCAAGATAAATGAAAGCATGTCCACACAAACACTAATACATGAATGTGCACTGCAGTATTCATCACAGCTAAAAGGTGGAAACAACCCACACTATCCATCAGCAGGTGGATGGGTAAAGAAAAGGTGGCATTTTCCATACAATGAAGTATTATTCAGCCACAGAAAGTACTAAAGTACAGGTACATGCTACAACATGGAGGAACCTTGAAATTTTTGTTAAGTGAACCACTTGCCATTCTGTATCTGGATTGAACCTGATATAAACAGCCACATATTGTATGATCCCGTTTACATGAAATGTCCATAATATGAAAATTCACAGAGACAGAAAGATCAGTTACCTAGGGTTTGGGGAGGAGGCGGGAAGAATGAAGAGTGACCACTAATGGGTATGCAGTTTCTTTACAGGGTTATAAAAGTGTTCTGGAATTAGATAGTGGTGTTGGTTGCACAAGCTTGTGAATGTACACTGAACTATATACACTCCTAAGTGGTAAATTATGTGGTACACGAATCATATTTCAATAAAGCTATTGTAAGAAATAATAAATAATACTCATGTAGACTCAGGTATGGAAGGAAGGGGGTGATACTTAGCAGAAAAAAGATTCAATCCCGACTCCAGCTATCAAACCAGGCAGAATCTCCTGCCCTCCACTGCCTCCTGTCCTGCATCTCTATGGTAAAGAAGTAGATATCCCCCAATTCTGTCTTGGCAGGTGGAGAGGGAAACAGTTTGCAATCATTAATAGGTCTAGAGTGATCTCCCACCTTACTCTACTTTTTGATCATCTAGGCATGACACAGCGACGTTTGTAACCAGATCATATTGGGCAGGTCAGTTTTTCTCAGTTAACTGGGGGGTCAGCCTTTGGTCGGTTGTGGTCTAGGAGCAGCCCAAGAAAAACCCAGATGTTACAGAAGTCCTACCCATGATTCAACCATCAGGCTTGACATTTGAGTCAGTGCTGAACCATGGCCAGAGACCAGGGGCGTCAGACTATGAGTGTGAACTCCCAGGATGGGCAGATGGCCAGGAGGCTCTAAGGGAGGAGGAGTCCTGCCTGAAGTCTTCCTAAAATGGGGCCTCAGCCCCCTGACCTGGCATTCTGGGGCAGGAATGAGCCTCTGAACTGCAGCCTACATCCACATTCCATCCACTATGAGCATTCCTTTTACAACATTCCTCAGAGAAGTGGGTTGGGTTCTCAAGGCAACCCATTCCATTTTTTTCTAATGACGCTAATCACCAGAACCTTCTTTCTTATGTTAAGCTTAAATAAACCTTCCTGTAACTACTGCCTGCTAGAGATACATTGTCTAATCCCTTTTCCATTTGACAGCCCTTCAGTATTTGGAAACAACTAATATGCCTTTATGTGATCTCTTCTCTACGTATCTCTGATTTCTTCTTTCATTCTTTAACGAATGTGCTTATGAGAGCTGAACCACCCCTCTCAGAGCTGCCTTTTAAAATAGTGTGCCTGCAGCTGAGCATATACCGCAGACATTATAAGCTCTGATGGTCCTCACCTATCAGCACGGTTTGGGACCCCAATCTGTCCTGGGGTGAATTAGCTGTCTCTTGCAATCACTCTGCCTCTTTTGGTTGAGGGCAACATTCGGTCGGCCCTGAGTGCAGATAGCTCTGCCTTCATGGGGCAGCATTTGCATCTATGGTAAGCCTGGTAAGTACAGATTACCAGTGCTACTCTCAGCAAGCAAGAGGTAAGTAACTTGGGCTTCAGGATGGATAAGCAATGTGAAGGAGGAGAGGGATCTCTACATACGAAACAATTCAGAGTGGAAACTCAAACCATTTCAAGGATAAAGGCGAATAAACCAGTAGCCATGGAGCTACTAGAGAGACTTTGCTCTCTAGTTCCTGCTCTCTCTGTTCCAACTACCAGGAAGGTGTCTCCATGCTCTTCTGGGAGGAGGCTGGGTGAAACGTCTATGGTTCCCTGGGAGCTGCTCTGCTGCCCTCTGGTGGTGGACTTCTGCAGCTGCTTCAAAAAAGGAAGGAATCTTGGAAGACACACAAGACAGCTGTGAGAAGACTCACCAGGGGCTCTCAGGGCCCAGGGGGAGGAATGGAAGACAGCTTCCCAGGTAGCATAACCCTGCAGGGAAGCTACAAAAAGGAATGGTGAAAACAAGGTGAACAGGATGGGTCCATTTGTAACAGAACAGGGTCTGCTTTCACAAGCCATTCCACCATGCACTTCTGTACTCAGAGGAGTTTCTATACGTGACAACCCTTTTCTTTCTATAGTAAAGCCTGCCTCCCTGTTTGGCCTGCACACAAACAAAATAACACATGAAAAGGATCTAGCCAGGGCCGGTCGAGTGGCTCAGTTGGTTAAAAGCTCGCTCAAGAGTTTGAGCTCTGAGCAACAGCGGTTCGATTCCTGGCCCGAGATGAGCAGCTGCTGAGCTGCCAACAGGTGGCAGGATGGCTCAGCTTATAAAAAAAAAAAAAAAGATCTAGCCAACGTCAGGCATACATTAGGTTATTCCCTTAATCCAGTGATTAGGGGGTTCCTCTCTCCACACCTGAGCCATCCTAATGTCATCACCAGAAAACCCAGGGCAGGGGGTGTTGCTGGCCAAGACTTTTACCAGGAAGAAGAGACGGATACTAAGTGTATTTGAGAAGAATTGATAAATTATGAAGAAATCCCACCTAACCCCCAAGTCCATTCTTTTGGAAAAGTTGTCCAATAAGATGGTCACGGGAACCCATGAGCACTCCTTTTATGGACCTTGAGTTGATACTGAAGGAAGAAAAGGAGAAACAGGGTTCAAAGTGTACTTTCCCCTGGTCCTTACTTCTCAATATGCAGGAGTAGAGGACAGAGGTCAGGAGAGGGAGGGGCCTTCCAAGTATCCATTACAGAGCAGCCTGGAATCTCAACTCCCTAACCCCCTGCTGCTACAATCATTCCTGGGGAAAGCCCCAGCCTCGGGTAACCCCAGAAAGTCTCCTTAGTGGGGGAAGCTGTCCTGGGAGAATCAGAGGCAGGGAACACAGGGCTCTAACACCTTCCTTTTATGGCCCTGGGGATAAGGCTCAGCAGAATTGGCACGAATTTCTCAATTTCTTGCCAGAGAGAGGAGAATTGCATTTCAAAAGGACTTAAAACAATTAGACCCCAGATCACACCTCCATCTAAGCAATAGGGCAGCCAAAGACTCCTAGACCAGGAGTGGGAGAGGGGAGAGACCAGGAATCTGGAAAGAGGTGGCCCTCTCATCTTTCTTCTTCAGTCTGTTCCCTTCCCCCATTTTCACACGCGCCCTCTTTCAAATGAAAAAGCCAAGAGTGGATCTGGGTCAGGTTAATGGCAGCTATCACCAATTTGGCCAAAAGTTCCTATCTCTCTCAGGGCCCAAGTGGACGGGGCAAAAAGCCTACAGACATTCAGGGCAAAGCTCTGAAAGCAGCCTGGCACTGAGACAAAAGGCGCGCTGGTGGTGCGTGGGTTTCCTCATTCACTCAAACTCAACTCAGATGGTCTGACCCCTTCCTAGAGTGAGCCACCCACCAGCCGCCCAGGACAGGGGGAAGCTGGAGGCAGAGGGCTAGCTGAGCACCGGGCTGTCCCCGGGCTGTGCGGCTCATACGTCCTCTGAGATTGCTTCCTGTGTTTCTCCCTCGCTCCTCACATGCCTGGAGAACCCATCGGGACATGCAGGTGGGCTCTCCCTGTGCCACCCTGAGAGCGTGCTCTTGCACCCAGGTCAGTGAGTACAGTTCCTTTTGCCAAGCCACGTCTCGGCAGCGCTTACCTATCTGCATGACCCTCCCAAAGACAGATGTGTTGTCCACGGTGCTGCAGTTCCACCGCCTCTGCCGGAACTGGTACTGGCACTCCTTGATGCCTGTCTTGGCTCCCTCCCCTATGTAGGCCATGTGCTCCTGGTACAGCTGGCACAGCTTTCTCTGGCCAGGGGAGAGCCCAGGAAGCTGGCTGCACACAGGCTGGGCACCGATGATGAACATCTCAGGTCTCTGCACCGGGTTCATAGCTAATGACCTAGAGCAGAGATCCAGAAGGGGGAAAGGCCAAGGAGTGAGCACACGCCTGTGTGCAACAGCACGTCATCCATTCAACACATTTCCCAAGTGCTTTCTGTGTCCAAGGCCCTGGCTAACAGCTTGGGGAAACTGAGGCACAAACACAGATGGCAGGTAAGATGTCAAATGCCTAAGACAGACTTGAACTTCTGGATCCAGAGTAATCAGATAGGGGAAGAGCTCTTACAGCTGGGGAGAAGCTTTTATAAGGAGATGGCCAGAGTGTGAGCTGGGTTTTAAAGGACATGGGGCTGGACAAGAAGGCATCAGAACAGGCAGGTTCCATATCTGAGCCACATATTCCCTAATCCACTGTTTATCAGTTCAGGGGCTCTCCCTTTTGCCTATCATCCAGCAGATATAATAAAGTATTGAGTTTGATGAGAAGGCTGTACATTTGCTGTCTGAGTAAAAATGTGAGCAGGGCACAGACGGTGCAAAACAGTTGGCGAGTGCCTGCCATTTCCATGTTGACTTGGCAATGACAGTCGTCTTAGAAACACAAAAAGAAAGCCACACATGGTCCTGCAAATCCCTCATCTGGTCTTCAGACTTATAAAATAGGAATTCTACTCTCCTTGTCCCAACCAGAAAAAAAAAGATCAATATTCTCATCAATCCAATAGCAACAAAAGAGGTATTTCTAACCACCCATGGGGGTGGAGGAAGGGCCAGAGAAAGGAGAATAGAAACAGGATCAGAGAAAAAGCCAAATGAACGAATTCTTTATCCTTGTGGAAACTTACTTTTGGGGGCTTGAGAGAGAAAAAGGGCCATCCTAGTTTTCCTGGGATAAAAGAGGCCCTTAGGATTGCTATGAATAAAGGAGTGACCACAATACACACGGTGACCTTCTCCACATTTCAATTACCAAAGGAGGCGTAGGTTGTAGAGTAGGACTTCAGCCCTCTCACTCACCACCAGGAGCTGGCTTCGGCTGGAAGCTGAGCCCAGCTGGAGAGCAGCGCAGCGGTGAGCAGCAGCAGGCCGGGCATGGTCGGCCTCAGCCCTCCTCAGTGCCCTGGGAAGACACCCGGGACTGCCGGCTTCCAAAACTGGGCTCCCTGAGAAAACAGAAATGAGGGGAGAATCAAAGTGGAAATGCAACAGATAGGGAGGCCCAGGAGACAGAGAAGTGAGCTCTGGGTGGGCTCTAACGTCGTTTTCTGCTCCCCCAAAGAAATCCAGCCTGTTTCCAACCATGGTCTCCTAGGCTCATCTTCTCACCACAGGACTGCCCTGTGGTCTCTTACCCCCAACTGTGAAGACTACTAGGGACCTAATTCCAAAGGAAACCCTGAGCTGACAAACTAGGAGAGAGAAATGAAAACACGCCATTTCATGAACAGAGAGTGCTCTATGCAACATTTCATAAGGTTGCAAACAGGCTGTTGCAACGCACACTTGCCCTTCTTCTAGAAATGAGAACCATCCCGTGGCCCTTCCCTGTAACTATTACTCCAGCCAGAGGAGGATCCCTCCGACTGCTCTCTTTTGCTGGGCTACAAAACAATTGGTGAGTTGGATTGACCTCCAGCTAAACAGGAGTCCTCCTTTTCAATCTCTACCCTTCCCATTCTAGCCAAGTTTTCCAAATCCCAACCACTGTTTACCAGGAATGATAGCAGGGAGACAGGCGAGGACTTTTCACCTTCTCAAGGCAACTTCTCTGAGAACTGTAAAAGCCCTGCAGACAACCACGGACCCTAAAGCTGTTGGGGGGTGCAGCGCCTTCCTAGGTGGCCCTCATCCCCTCCTCGGTGCTCAGGGGCCCCGTGTCCCAGCAGCCCGGACAGCAAGCAGCAGTGGAGGCACTGCCAGCTCCTGGTCCCTAACCCGTGCCTCCAACATCTGTGCTAAGGACAAGTCTTCCAGAAGCAACAACCCCTTTCCTGGTAGCGCAAGAGCCTCCCACAACCGTTGCCTCACGCTTTTTCTAACCACCGCCTGCGCCTATATCCCCCAGGAACATCTTTCTTCCAGCCCTTGAAAACAGGGAAAATCCTGCTTCTGGATCCTGGAGCAAGTCTGTATATAACAGCAGGCCCCCTTCAGCACACCCTCACCTCGTTTCTCCCTTAGCTCCCATCCAGGGCGTGACCCTGCAGCCCCAGTGAATCTCCTTCCCACGACCGCTTTAACACCTCCAGCTTCACACACGCAAACACCCCTCGCTCGCGCTCCCAGCGCCCCACCCCCATCTCACCACGCTGCCCCCGCAGTTCTGGTCTCCAGGCTTTCCGGGAGGGGGCGGCAGGTGCTTTGGGTCATCAGCCTGGCAGATATTTTTTGTCCTGGACCACCAAGAGAGGAAGGTGGCCTGAGCAGGGTCCAGGGAAGTTGGGCCACAGCCTGTCCCCACCCCCTTTTGGTTTTTCTTTTTGAGGTCTTGGCTGGGGCGGGGGCACCAACCGGCAGGTGTGTGGGGCCGGCAGGGGGCAGATCAAAGAAGAAACTTGCTTCTTCCCTTTGTCATGCAGAGCCTGCTCGGAAATGATCCGGTCTCTGGCCCCGTCCACTAACAGCCCCCCACACCCTACTTTCCTAACAGACCTCCCCTCCTCTAAGGGATGCCCCCACCCCCTCTAACCTCTACCCCCCATAAATCCTCCCTGTCCCTCAGGGCAGGAGGTCTGTGAATGCACCGACTGGAACCAAGAGAGATGGAGCAGAGATAGGGCTGGCACCAGAAGCTAATGGCTTTATGGAGGGGAGGGGACCAGGTCCAGGGTAGGGAGGACGAGAGAAAAGCTTCAAAGAGTTTTCTTGTCCAAACATCCTCAGCTCCACCTACCAGTCCTTTTTGGAGACTTAAGAGTCAGCTTCCCTACTCCCTGTGGTCCTTCTCCCTTCCCACAGCCTCTCTCCCAACAGGGCCATCCCCACCCACCACCTTGCCTCCCGCAAACCTCCTCCTCCCACCCGATACACATCCTCACACATTTCCATGCCAGACAGCAGAGTTCTTTCTCCAGCTGGTGACACTTCTTATCCCCACGGATTCCCCCTTCACACCAGCGTCTCTCACTTCTGTCACACCCTTTCATCAGGCCCCTGTGAAATATCTCTGGCTCTGAAAGTCCTAGGTTCAACCCAAGCCACTATGGGAGGCTGCTATTTCTGAGCCAAGGACGGGAGTCAGTGCCTGCTAATGGTCACTGTGGCTTTGAGTGCCCGGTGCCAGGCTGAAGGCGAGAGGAGGCCAAACTTCCCAAGAGCTGGTAACCCCGCCACTCTGGGCCTTCTAAACATCACCTGAAACAGGATCCCGCCCAGCAGCAGTTCCCACCACCCTATGCTTTCCATCAAATTCTCAGCTCATTAAAAAAGATTTTTAAAAACGTAAAAAAGACTGCAGCACGTGTGGTGGCTTCTTCCTTTGCCTTCCAGATGTGTGGCACCTTCTCCTGGTAGGCAGCTGTAAGCCACCTCTTGGAGTGGTCACAGAACCAAAGCACGGCAGCTGGCTGCCCTCGTTTCTAACCTTTGATTTCCTCATGCAGGGCTGGGAGGAGGAAGGTGAATGTTGGCGACTGGCTTCACTAGCGTGGGCAGAATGGAAACTTCTTGCCTCAGCCTGACTGGGGAGGCAGGAAGCTGTGTGGGGACCGATGGTTTGGTCTTAATGAGTAGGACACATCAGAAGCCCCGTTTGTGGGTTGCTGGTGAATTTTACAGCAACTGCAACCAGAGAAGGCTGTTCTTTGTGTGGGAAGAAACAGCTAGTAAATATCCAAAAGGTGAGGAGAGAGAATTCTTTCTGCTGCCTTCGTAATAACTACAGATTCCCCCCCCAAAATAAAGTTTCCCTTTCCTAAGAGAGGTGTCATTTCAGACACACCAAATACAGCTAGGTATGAGAAGAATCCAGGGTCTCTCTTCTTTGGTAGTGACTGGGAGGTCACAGGGAGGAGAAGATGCCACATTCTCAATCAGGACCCTCCCGGGGGCCGGAATGGGGAGTCAGACACGTCTGCTATGCTTCTTCATTCAGTCATTCATTTGTTCAATAAATGCATGAATCAAAGATGCATCAGGGGCCTCATATGTGCCATTACTGCTTCAAGTGCTAGAGAGACAGCAGTGAGCAAATTATATAATCGACCCTTGAACAAGGTGGGTTTAGGGGTGATGATCCCCCCACACACACAGTCAAAAAACTGCGTAGAACTTTGGACTCCCCCAAAACATAACTGCTAATAGCCTGTTGTTAATAGAAAGTCTTAACTGATAGTATAAAGTCAATTAACACATATATTGTATATTATATACTGTATTCTTACAATAAAGTAAGCTAGAGAAAAGAAAATGTTATTAAGAAAATCATAAGGAAAACACATTTATAGTAATTATTGAAAAAAATCCGTGTATAAGTAGACCTGTGCAGTGCAAACCTTGTATCTATTCAAGGGTCAACTGTATGTAATATGTTAACTCCAGTGACTACTATGAGAAAACATCAAGTGGCGACAAGAATCAAGAAGAAGGGGTAAAAGCTTACATTAGTTAGGGTCCTTGGGGAAAGCCACACTGAAATATCTGCCCACCCGACCTCTCTCCAAACCGTTGTGTAGATGGAAGGTAGCAGGGGTGTAACCCTGTGACACATCCCGGACCCCTCTGTGGCATGTCCACGGTCCTTACTGAGACTGGGGTGCCCCGCATGACCATCACAATCAAAGGGATGCCTATCTGAAAATAATAACTCCAGGTTCTCTTCATTTTCCTAGTTGGACCCAGTCACCAATTTGCATTCTCTTAGGAGGCCATGGCCATCCATCCCAGAGATAGGAGACCAGGGAGAGAGGCTGGACAAGTGGAGCTGAGGTCGGAGCAGCTCTTAAAGGGCAGCTCTGTGTCCCCACACGCACTTCAGACAGTGCCTGCAATGCAACCCGGACCCACAGGACCAGTGCTTGGAAAGGTCATTAGCTGCTCTGCTCACAGAAGCCACCATTGGGAGTTCAGAACTCAGGCAGCTTAGGAGTCACACAGAAAATGCTGTCCAAAGCCACACTTGTCCCCCTGCCCCCAGACAGGCACCCTCACACCTAGAAACACACCAAGAAATAACCAAGAGCTTGGATGGGAGCTTTTTCATTGTTGCCACTGGCTAATTCTTACTGGGTGACCCAGTGAAGAGCTACTGAATGTGGAATTTAAAAATGCATTTGCAATGTTAGTCTCTGGCACAACAAGGTAGACAGTCTTAGCAGTCTCTGGAAAGAAAGGAAATGCTTCCCTTTGGGGACTCCTGGCTGCACTGCTGCTGTTGGCTGATTTCCGTGGGGGTGGGGCGGGTGAAGGGGGAGCAGGAATGACAAAGCTGTCATCCACAGCCTTCTCTCCCCCTGGCCACTTCATTTCTACCACCACAAAGATGAGAGGAAGACTATGGATCTTGAGAAACGCCTCCTAAAGTTAAGTCCAGTTCATTCATTTGCTTCCTTGTTTTCAAGTGAAGTGTTCACTCTTTACACCTCAACAGCCAAACAGTTCTTTGTGCTCTAGCCCATATAGCTTCAACACGTTTTTCCTAAAATACGTATTTACATCATAATATTCTCGTTAGAAAACTGATAGTGGTTGGGAACTTTAACCGTTCTAAAATTCCCAACATGGCCTCTTTTTCCCTCTCATTCTTTTCCTGAATTTCTCAACATGGGTTCTCTTTTCCAATCTCCTCCTGCTCCTAGGACAAGCCCTGCTTTCCCCCGCAAGACCTGGTTCTGACCTCTTCCCTGGGAGGCTTTCTCCTCTCCAGTAATCCCGACCTTAAACTACCTTCCTGCCCATGCTCATGGTTCACTTCCTCCATGAAGCTGTCCTTGATTGATCCAATGCTATGATCAATTCCCACTCACCAGGGACTTCCTTAGTATCATAAATACAGGTAGCTAGTCTGCACCACTTTCTTCCAGACATGTTGCCTTGGAATGTGTTCGTTTCTTACTTCTCCAGTGATTGAAAGTTTCCTAACAGTACAAACTTACCTGTTCTACTTTCTGTCCATACCCCACATGGCTGGTGTAGTTTTACTGGGCAGTAAACAAAAAAAGTGACA